AACAGTTATCTGGAATTACAAATCTACTTACAAATAATATAATATGATATAACGATATAAGTTATAGATGTCGGTGCATGACCTACTGGATGAAACAGATTGACATAACCTAGATATATCTTAAAGAGAGGGAGAGAGAGAGAGAGGTTTAACGTCCACTCGACACAAACCAGGCCATTTCAGGACTAACACATGGTTCAACTTTACTTTAATAATTCGCTTGCGCGTAGGGGTCTTTAGCAGTGGGAGGAAACCGGAGGACCCGGATAAAACCCACGAGGTTGGACAGGCGATCCTACTCCTTGCCACGTACAACCGGGGAATCGAAACCCCGCCAGTTGACTCAATGACAGACCGTATGATATAGCGCGCACGTGCTAACCATTTCCCCCCCCCCCCATATCTTAAAGAGTCCGCTCCAGATTAGACCATTTAGTGGGGTTGGGATGGCATAGTGGTCTAGACTGCCGCGCTTCGATCTCTAGCTGGCCGGTCACCTCTGGCTTGCGGTGTGAGCCTATGTGGTTTCGATCGCTTGTGTGAGCCTATGTGGCTTGGAGATAGGGTCGCCTTCACAACCTCGTGGGTTTACTGCGGGTACTCCGATTTCCTCTGACAGAACAAAACCCTGCGCGTGCGCTAAGATAATTTTTAAGAAATGAAAAATAAAGACAACTTGTCTGCGATACCACCTTCGGTGGAAGCGGGCGTTAAACATTAAGCTCATGCAACAACAACAAGATTAGACCATAAATAAAAGTGAATTGAAGTATCCGTACGCAAATCGAACGCCAAAATTTGTAGCAAGCACGAGCGTACTATGTCGAACAGGAACCATGTATGGCATTATCGCATTCATTGTGCCGTCACATCAAGAAAATCGAAATGTCTATGCAGGCGCAATTGTCCAAGGAAAAACATGGCAAGTTTCATTTCAAAGTAAAATATGATATCTGGTCCAAAAATAGTACAATGACTTGCATGAAAAATAGAAAACGAAATTAAATGAGGTTTAACGTCCTACTGTTCTGGGGCCTGTTTCATGAAATTTTAACTAAATTTTAGTAATTTGATTGGATAATATTAGACTGATTTTAGTGCTTAGCCAATCAAAATATAAGTATCTACTAAAATTTGGATTTTATCTTTAGTTAAATTTCGTGAAACAAGTCTCTGAGCCGACTGGACTAATGCAGACGGCCATACGCCGTACAGTGTGGTATACGTCATACAATGACTTATAAGAGAAAATTTACGTGGATAGTAGCACTCTTGCGGTCCGTTTACGATAAACACAATAAAAGGGCGTGGCTCTACCCCTGGGGCTCGGGACATGTACCAAAATCAATAGTTGCTGTCCTTACAAATCCCAGTTTCCAAGACTATTCATTAAGAATTGTGACCTGTATGCAACACACAAAATGGGTGTGGCTCTGATCCTGGGGCTGGGCATTCACCGAAAACAATGGTAATCCTTAGTATATAAGGAATAAGTATGCAAAGTTCCAAGAGCATCTGTTAGGAATTAGGACATGGAGGCGACTCACAGGTGCCCACAAAATTAATAGAGATCATCCCTAGTGTATAAGGAATAAACGAGTATGAAAAGTTTTCAAGACGATCCAGCGGCCTGTAGCTGACATCACAGGCATCTCACCTTCTTAACTTGAATTCAAACAGTTGAAAACTTGATATATTAATAACATATCAATTCGCTACTATTATTTTAACCAACATTGAATAATTATTAAATTGTCGTCAAAAATACATTATAACAATTCTAACAAGTTTTCGCTACTAACAGACAAACACTAGACGAGTCGTGGTACAAGAGTCGTTTTTATTTATTAAGCTAGCTATAATGCCGTAGTATGAATGGTTCAGATGGCAAGCTTTCGTCTATTTGTAATGTATATAGAATGTTTTGTGTATTACTATTGGCTACTTGAAAGGTATATGAATAATTTGATATATATATAAATTGTCGATGACCATCTCTTGAACTGTGTTTACACAATAACTTAAATCGCTGGAAGTGAAACAAACCCGTCTATATGATATCACGTGACTAGCCGCGTTAGACCCGCCCCCGTATCGTTTAAAAACGGCAGGAAAAATTGGATGATATTCAGTGCTTGAGGAACGGCCGAATTCAGATCACAGAAAGTAGACTGACAGTCAGAGAAAAACTTGTATAAAAATTTACTAAAATGGAGTTAAGTGTCGCTTTTACCTTTCTGACATTCGTAGGACTATCTACAGCAGCATGTAAGTTGAGATTAATTAAATTCAGTTGGTTTTTTTTGTTTTTGTTTTTTTTTTTTGCTTTTTTATATTCTTATATTCTCACCAGAAAAAATTAACGTAAAGGTAATTAAATGTCATTTTTCTTCATTTTTCAAGAAAAATATTTGTTTAATTAAAGAATAATTTTCGGACATTTTAAAACAAAATTAAGATACATGATCTACCCCTACCCTAAGAAAAGTTGAATTATGTCAATGAATTAAATATATAGCGATATTTACCATTAGAAAAGCATGTTTACAATCGGGTGATAACAATAACGGAGTAACTATTCCTTAGGTAAATGATACTGCTATATATATATGCCGGATACATACCGTTAACTCACACTTAGTGAATCGTAGGCGATCTATACACTGTGGTTAGGATCGGTTGCGGCTGTTGAGCGTCCTATATGTAGTAATACTAAGAATATTTCAATTATAATTTATTTAGATATGTATCAATAAATAAAACGAAAAGAAAAAGAAAATTTGTAATACATTTACATAGCTATGTAGTGGTAGAATGTATTTAGAAAGAGTACGCATACTCTGCTTTATGCACTACAATTAAAAAGAGTATTAAATTAACACTCTTTGCTGTCTTTAGAATTTTCCAACAAGAAATTTATATGACTATAATTCAAACCAACCCTACACTCGTCTATTTATCCTGTATGTTAAACTGTGCTCGACTCATAAATTGTATCACAAATGTAAATGTATGGTCAAATAATTTTAAACGAAAACAGATTTTTTTTAACCTACCGTCAAATGCTAAAGGCTCTTTAACATCACAAAAACATTATTTCCAGGAAAAATGAGAAAGACACGCTTCCATCTGGTACACATTCTTTTTACTAGTTATCCTAGATGGACAGATAATCCGAATTAAACATTATTAACGTGTTACTCTGTAGATCTATCATACAACCTATACAATGAAAGTTAGTATGTTTATGTGCGGTGTACCGTACACGGACGAGTAAAAGAATATACGATCAAAATATTACAAATTTATAGAAAATGGATAAAGAAAAACATAATAATATGTATTTATTTGTGATTAACCCAATTGTATAGACGGGTATAGGGCGTAATATATTTATATATTTTATTATATATCATACACGCCTATTTAAAAGCCTTTCCATGCAATACACAAAGAATGCACCGACTTTTCGAACTTTTGGGCAAGTGTCAAGAATGAATCAGCATATTAAGACATGGCATACGCTATGGCCTAGTCTTATATCGAATTCCAAATTTCAAATGTTCTTTTACGTGCACACCAAAGTGTACTTGGGACCTAGGTTTTTCGGCACATCCGATCGAGTCAACAACTGTCCTTGTCAAGCCCTCAGTCGGCCTTGGAACTATTATTTCATTAATTTCGTTAGATCCCTGAACTCTTAGGATCAGGCCGTTTTCACATATCTGTTTAATTTCTCTGACCAAAGTACCACTCTACGCGTGGCGCTAACGAAGCTGTGTGTTCTTATCATTTCTCGAGCATCCGATAATTGATTTATTTTGGAAAGTAGCTCACCAAACTAATTTAGATTGTGACGTTGCACTATAGCAAACTTTATTTGATATGACTATAAGAGTTTCGGAACTGGCCACTTTGTGAATAATGATACTACTATAGGACGGCGATCCTTTAGTCTATCTTTGTTCGATTTGTGTGAACTCCCAAGTACTTAACTTTCACTAGAAAAATACTCACGCATTTCACAGGGAACGAAGTCTCTTTAAGCTCGTAGTCGTACGGTATACGTAACACATCAATATGAACGACATACAAACATGCATTAATAACAATAATATACCTTTTGACAGAAATTGAAATGAAATGAGGACTTGACGTCTTACTGTTCTACTCCTACTGGGCTAATGTCATACACCATACAGTGAGCTATGTGGGCAATACGCCATACAGTGGGCTATGAGGGCAATACGCCATACAGTGGGTTATGGGGGCACCACCAGGGCCTATTAGTATATCGAATTCCAACTGCCAAGGGTTCTTTTACGTGCACCCAGTCGGAACAGAACAGTTTGGACAAGCACTCGTGGATGGAAATTTAGGCAATTCAAATATACACTTTTTTGGTGATTATTATAAAAATAAAATTAAACGATTTAGGACTACCGTGATTGGAACTGCATGAGCATAATTTAATAATGTTAGAAATCTTGAGAAAAATATCATTGTAGTTCCCGCGCCTATTGTTGAAACCCCAGGACAAAATACAAGACGTGATAGGTTCATATTTCTATATTAATCAAATGAATTATTTTATAGGCTGCGAAGTCACGCAGAGTATTATGTATATATGATGCAAGGGTTCACTTTGCTTCAACAAAATGCCTCGTATTCATTTCAACAAATCATTTGCATGTCGCGTCGTAATTTTTAGTCATATTTAAAGCTTCCGCACTGAATAGCTCCAGAGGACAGTTTTTACTTTAATTAGATAAGTGATCCATGAAGTCGTGTGGCAACATCAGTTTATCATTCGTGATTTTTTTCTGTTCTTTCTGCAGGACAGACTGACGAGACTTCAGTAATATAGATCAATTCACAGTTTGGGTGTAATACGAAACTTCGGTTAAAAAAAACAAAGTTTATAAAATATTATAAAAGACGATTTAAATTTTATATCAAAACCGTGGTATATGTTTATATGTGCACATAAGAGTCGTTTTATCTATTAAGCTAGCTATAATGCCGTAGTATGAATGGTTTGTACAGCAAGCTTTCGCCTATTTGTTGTGTATATAGGGACTTTTGTGTATGGGCTATTGGCTACTCGAACGGTATATAAATAATTTGATATATATATAAATTGCCGATGACCATCTCTTGAACTTGTTGTAAACAATACTCTACTTACATCACTGGAAGTGAAACCATGGACCTTGTATACTATAAGGGCCGTGGTGAAACAAAACCGTACGTATGATATCACGTGACTATGCAGCCTTTAGTAGCATTACACCCGCCCCCGTATCGCTTAAAAACGGCAGGAAAAATTGGATGATATTCAGTGCTTCAAGAACGACCGAATTCAGATCACAGAAAATAGATAGTCAGAAAAAAACTTGTATAAAAATTAACTAAAATGGAGTTAAGTGTCGCTTTCACCTTTCTGATATTCGTAGGACTATCTACAGCAGCAAGTAAGTTTAGATTAATTAAACTAAGTTTTTTCTTTGCTTTTTTTATATTCTCACCAGAAAAAAATTAATACAAAAGTAATAAAATGTCATTTTTCTTCATTTTTCAAGAAAAATAGTTGTTTAATTAAAGAATAATTTTCGGGCTTTTTAAAACAAAATTAAGATACATCATCTACCCCTAAGAAAAGTTGAATTAAATATATAGCTATGAATTGAATATATAGCGATATTTAATGTAATGTTTTCTATCGGGTGATAACAATATCGGGCGAACCATTTTTAGGGTAAATGATAATTTTATATAAGCCGGATACATGCATTTTACTAATACTGAGTGAATCATAAGCGATCTATATGTACCGTGGTTAGGATCGTTGCTGCTATTAAGCGTCATATATAATATATGTAGTAATACTAAGTATATTTCAGTTATAATTTATTTAAAATATTTATCAATAAATAAAACGAAAAGAAAGAAAATTTGTAATACATAGCTATGTATTGGTAGAGGGTAGGTAATTTAGAAAGAATACGCACGCGCTGTTTTATGCACTATTGTTTAAAAAGTATTAAATTAACACTCTTTGTGGTCTGAGATTATTCCATTTCATTTGCATTGTTTTAGAATTTAAAGACACATTACCTTTTCCAACAAGAAAATTATATGACTATAATTCAAACCAATCCAACACTCGCCTATTTATACTGTGAGTAAAATGTGCAGATGTAAATGTATCGCAGCTGTAAATATATGGTCAAATAACAGTTAAAGGAGTTCTTTAAAATCACAATAAAACATTACGTCCAGAAAAGTGAGAAAGACACATTTTGCTAGTTATCCTAGATGGACAGATAACACGAATTAAACATTATTGATATGTAGTGGTTATTAACGTGTTACTCGGTAGATCTATCATACTATGGTATGTTCATGTGTGGTGTACCGTACAAGGCCGAGTAAAAAAAAACAAACGATCAAAATATAATAAATTTATGGAAAATAAATAAAGAAAAACACATGTATTTCTATGTGATTAACCTATTTGTCTAGTCGGGCATAGGTGACAATAAAGTTATATATTTTATTATATATCTTACACGCCTATTTAAAGTAGCTAAATCTCTAACTCAGTATTATCCAAGGTCTTTGACACAAATTATTTGTCAATTTAAATCAACATTGATGCTGTGATCATACCGGGATATCCAATATTTAAGACAAAATAAACATTTTACCGTGATTTTACCGGGGAAAGATGGGCTTCTGACATCTAATATTTAAGACAAAATAACATTTTACCATTGGTACACGAATCGTGCACCATAATGCGCGGGGCGCCATTTGTAACAATGGACTCGAAGAACGAGGCAAGACATGTTCAACTAGTCATGTCAATCAGTGACGCCATGCAATAAATACTGTCGTTGTAGACTGGAATAACCAGATGCTATAGAGATTGCCATTCGATTGAGACTTCTGGTGTAGTTCGTCGAACATACAGTAAAAACAAAGTCGATTGAATGTAAATCAGTTTACATACATTCATATTACAGTATTATATGCGTTGCGACCCATTTATGTCAATTTCTAGGTCCTAAATATTAACGATTTAGCTCCTTTAAAAGCCTTTTCATACAATAAACAAAGTATGTGGTGCCATTTCGAACGTCTGGGCAATTGTCAAGAATGAATCAACATATTAAGACATTGCAATTTACTGTAGGGACAGAAACACAATATGGCCTTCCTGGAAATGAATTGGGGGTTTAGCACCGACTGGGCTAATGAGGACGGGCCTATAGCTTAGTTTTATATGGAATTCCAACTGTAAAGGGTTCTTTTACGTGCACCCGGGCCGGAACAGAACAGTATTGAGCAAGTATTCGTGGATTGAAATTTGAGCAATTCAAATATACACTTTTTTGGTGTTTATTATAAAAATAGAATTAAACGATTTAGGACTACCGTGATCGGAAATGCACGAGTAAGATTTTATAGTTCTAAACATTTAGGGGAGTTGTTGATTTTTCCGTGTAAGGCTAGTATTACCAGCGAAATACAAAAGAAACAGACAACTTTTAATTTTAGAAGAAACAATTAATTTTAGAAATCTTGAGAAAAAAGGCAGGAATTACTTCCCGCGCTATTGTTGAAAACCCAGGGCAAAATACAAGACGTGATGCGTTCATATTTCTATATTAATCAAATAAATTATTTTATAGGCTGCGAATGAAGGATGGCGAACAGAGTCACGCAGAGTATTATGTATATATGATGCAAGGTTTCACTTTGCTTCAACATAATGCCTCTTATTCATTTCAACAAATTATTTGCATGTCGCGTCGTAATTTTAGCCATATTTAAAGCTTTCGCACTGAATACCTCCAGACAAGGACACTTTTTACTTTAATTAGATAAGTGATCCATGAAGTCGTGTGGCAACATCAGTTTATTATTCCTGTTTTTTTTTTGTTCTCTCTGCAGAACAGACTGACGAGACATTTCGTAATTTAGACCCATTCTCAGTTTGAGTGTAATACGAAACTTCGGCAACAAAGAAACAACGTTCTCAAATTATCATTAAAGACGATCGCAATCTTATATCAAAGCCTGGACCAAGTTAAAAGAAACCTTATCTTATTTACTATACATGTCAAAGTATAATGGAGATTGGTATTTCGTTTCTACTTAATCTTACTCTTTAGAAACTCTAATTAAAATTACATGTTAATTAAATGGATGCTCCGTATTGTATTTCATTCCTTGTTGCAATTGTTGGGATTATATAAGTAATAGCTATCAAAGGACCTTTGTTAGATGCTGAGTAATATCTCTCTACAGACCTCTGTTTTTCTTTGATGGCAAAAACAGCAGGCGAATTCTTATTCTCTTAGCATGGTTCCTCATTGAAACCACATGTTCAAAAACATAGCACATTTCCAAAAACATGCCACCCTTTGTCATTAGGAAAACTGCCACATATTGTAGACAAATTTGCTTTATTTTTGTTTTGCCATTGTTTTGTCCTTAAACTTAAAACATCCTAGATGATCTATAATTTACCGCTGTTTATTTCTTCATATTTTGTCGACTAAATTGCTATTGTATTTATTTTTTTAATTGATATTTTCGTTGCTTGACAACTTGAAGAGAATAGCCTTCGAAACGCCACCCAAATAATTTAGTATTGGGAGCTATGGCGGCTCCGTATAAGACGCTGGCTCGCAGGGCTGGAGGCCGCGGGTTCGCTCCGGTGTTGGCCGGGAAAGTTCCACGGGATTTTCCGGCGTGTTTTCCGCTTGTCAGGGGCACAGGATGGAGGTCCTAATAAGGACAGCTGCCTAGTCGTTCGGATGGGAATAAAAACTGAGGTCCAGTGTACACCAGGGCGTGCACGTAATTCGGAATTCGATATAAGAGAACGCAGTAGCGACCAAAATGAACCCTTGACGGTTGGAATTCGATATAAGAAAACGCCGTAGTGTCGCTGTCCGGGCAAAATTCTCCTCATAACACACTATATGGCCCGTCTTCATTATCCTAGTCGGTGGAGAAAAGTAGGCTGTTAAACCCCATTTCATTTCATTAACAAAATATGTGTGTTGATTAAAAAAAAATAGCTTAAAAGAATGATTCACGACTTCGCGACTAGTTTTTATAGATGTGTATGATCTTTACTAACACCGCGAACCCTGATCTAATTTGGGGACTCATTTGATTAACCACCAACAATAAAACCATCACTGTGGCATATTTCACTTGTAGTTGGGCCCCCAGGAAACACCGTGATCTTCATTCTTGATCTTCGATTTCATGATCATGATATACAATCACTGAACTTGCTGACCTAGAAAAATCACATAATAATTGTAACAATATGATTCAAATCGGAGCCAGAAATACTTTCGATTGATTCGCGATTTGGTGCAACGCTAATCTGACAAGTTACATGAACTCCTCAAATGAATATCCCTTAATGTTGAATATCGTACGGGTAGGCATAACTTTCGGTAGCTGATCTCAAGTTTCTAAATGTCTTTCGAATTTATAAAATTATGGTCATCGTGGTCTACCGGATGTAAAGGGGGAAAGGTCAATATGACTACCAGTTCAAGTGTTGTTCCCGTCGCTTGAGAGTCTATGCCTTGAGGGAATCCTTTGTATCAATGTTTTGCAGTTTGACGTTTTTATCTAATATGTCTACATTTCTATGACCCTTTCAGAGAATCCCCGTATAGAATAACTGTTCCACTGCATCGTGTTGTGAAATCAAAGATATCATCCGAAACTAGTGGGTTTTTTTTTAAAAATCCATTATGTCAACACACATGCATGAATTAAAAATAAGAGATGTGGATTTTATTTTGATAAGGGTGTAAATAAATAAAGAAAATGAACAGCTATCTGCTTGATCATTTTTCCATGGCGCCACTTTTAGTGATTAATGTAAGTGCCATTAACTGTAATTCGTGAGTAATTGAAAGGCTAAAACAGTTTGAATCATAGTATTATTGGTCAGGCCACACTTAAGCGCGGTTTATTTCTGTCCATATATTACAGTACTGGCCAAAGATGATAGAAGAAAAATAATGGTTGGTTAATGAATCAATTTGAGTTCGATTCATGTCTAATGTACCGCGTTAATACTAAAAGTTGTAGTCCAATTCCTGCTGTGAAGTTGTGTTGAACGAATTACCAAAGACTTCGCGATGTGGATTGTCATTCTATTATCAGTGGGTTCGATCTCATGACTGCACGCGATTAACAGAAATGTCTTATCTTGTCGAGCCCCCCCCCCCCCAACACACACACACCCCGCGGCTGCATACACATAGACACACACCATCTCCTTGTTCCTTACTGACTGGAATCGTACAATAATTTATTTAAATGGAAACCACCGTAAATATTTTTAATGATAAAATATTTATATGAGAGAAGATTTTATTGACCACCATTACCGCATCAAAAAAGGGAACGTATTATTAGTAGGCTAATT